CTGTCTCTCTCACTCTCAAAAATAAACATTAAAAAAATTAAAAACAATTCTCCCATCAGAAGACATAAAGTAGCTGAATGTATGTATATATAAAAAAACAAGGGGTGTCTGGGTGGCTAAGTTGGTTAAGTGTCCAATTTTGGCTCAGGTCATGATCTCACAGTTCGTGAGTTCAAGCCTCGCTTCAGACACACAGACTGAAAGTAAACGGTTAAGAAAACATATTCCTTACAAATGGTAACCAAAAGAGAGCTGGGGTAACTACCGTTACATCAGACAAAACTGACTTTAAAACAAAGACTCTAATAAAAGACAAAGAAGGGTATCACACAGTGAACACAATGATAAAGGGATCAATACAACAAAAGGATATAACATTTGTGAATCTTTATGGACACAACATAGAAGCAACTAAATATATAAACCAAATGTTAACACACCTAAAGAGAGAAACAGCAGTACAATAATAGGACACTTCTTTTTAAAAATTTTAAGGTTTTTTTTTTGTTTATTTATTTTTCAGAGAGCAAGCAAGCACACAAGCAGGGGAGGGGCAGAGAGAGAGAGAAGCAGACACCGAATCCAAAGCAGGCTCCAGGCTCAGAGCTGTCAGCAAAGAGCCTGACACGGGGCTCGAACCCACCAACCATGAGATGATGACCTGAGCCAAAGTTGGATGCTCAACCAACTGAGCCACCCAGGTGCCCCTGGTAATAGGACACTTTAATACTCCACTTACAACAATGCATAGATCATCCAGAGAGAAAATTAATAAGGAGCCACTGGCCTTAAACTACATGTTAGATCAGATGGACTTAACAGATATATATAGAACATTCCATACAAAAGCAACTGAATACATTCTTCTCAAGGACACATGGAACATTCTCCAGGATAGATCATATGTTAGGCCATAAAACATTTAATGCATTTAAGAAGACTGAAATCGTATCAAATATTTTTTCAGACCACAGTGGTATGAAACTAGAAATCAATTATAAGAAAACTGGAAAATTCACAAATATTGAAGATTAAACAGTAGGCCACTGAACAAGCAATGGTCAGCAAGTCAAAAGAGCAATCTGAAAAAATACCCTGAGACAAATGAAAATGGAAATACAATGTACCAGAAACTATGTGATGCAGCTAAAAGCAGTCCTCTCAGAGAAGTCCAGAGTGATAAATGCCTATCTCAAGAAGCAAGAAAATGCTCAATAAAACAACCTAACTTTACACCTGTAGGATCTAGAAAAAGGAAAAGCCCAAAATTAGAAGAAAAGAAATGAAATAGAGACTAAAAAGCCAATACAAAAGATCAATGAATATAAGAGTTGGTTCCTTGAAGATAAAATTCGCAAACCGTTAGCTAGACTCACAAAGAAAAAAAGAGGACTCAAAATGAGAAATCAAAGAGGAAACATTACAACTGATAACACAGATATACAAAGGATAATAAGAGGCTACTCTGAATAATTACACATCGAGAATCTTGACAACCTAGAAGAGATGGATAAATTCCTAGAGTCATACAACCTTCTACGATTGAATCATGAAGAAATAGAAAATCTAAAGAGACCTATTACTTAGTAAGGATACTGAATTGTTAATCAAAAACCTCCCAACAAACCAAAGACCAGGACCACACGGCTTCACTTGTGAATTCTCCCCAAAATTCAAAGAAAATACAAATCCTTCTCAAGTGCTTCTAAAACAACAACAACAACAACAAAAAACAGAAGAGCAAGTGTTCTGTATAGAAGTTGTTTATGTGACTTGGCATCCATTTCTGCCCAGAGCTGCACATATACAATCACGGGGGCTTAACTGGCTTGTACTCCATATCTGGCCTTGGGATCAGAACTGGCTCTTCTGTTCCTGATGCCAGGAGGGATTAATGTGCCTCATCTTCCTCCTTGAGTCAGACCAGGCTGGCCTCCTGGAATGGATCGGGGAGGGAAGAGGTATATGCAGATTCCCAGACTCCTAAGATTGTGAGGTATGATAAAAGAAACAGAAAAAAAAAAAAAACCCAGCTTGCTCGGGACTGTGCTTGGACAAACTTAACGACTAACCATAAATGACACACAGGTAGTGTATATATTGCCCTGGCAGGAAGAGCTGGTTGGAAGTCTCACCTGAGGGGAGGATGCTTCACCCAGGACCGTCAGCTGGGACTCCAGTCAGGCTGTTCAGCAGGGCTTCCCCAGCCAGAAGGTTGGATGTTGTAAGTACCTGATTCGATATGTTAAGCCTTCTTTGTTCTTCTCTGTACCTCTCTCCCTCTTTAAGTTTACTATAATTGTTTATTTCCTTACATTCCTTTTCCCTTATAATTAATAAATTCTTCCTCCACAAAACTGGAAGAGCAGCTATCATGAATTCCGATTATTTAGAACAGGAGGGAACATTTCTAAAGTTATTTTATGAGGCTAGCATTTCCCTTATACCAAAATCAGATAAGGCCACCAGAGGAAAAAAATTACAGGCCAATATCCCTGATGAACATAGATTTAAAAATCCTCATCAAAACATGAGCGAACCTATAATGTATTGTATTTCAACAATACATTAAAAGAATCATATGCCAACATCAAGTGGCATTTATTTCAGAGATGCAAAGATGGTTCAACATCTGCCAATCAATGTGATATGTTAACAAAATGAAGGATAAAAATTATATGATCCTCTCAATAGATACAGAGAAAGCATTTGACAAAATTCAATATCCATTTAGGATAAAAACTCTCAGCAGAGTGGTTATAGGGGAAACAAAATAGTAAATGCCATCTTTGACAAGCCTACACTGAACATCACACTCAATGGTGAAAAGCTGAGAGCTTTTCCTCTAAGATCAGGAACAAGACAAGGATGCCCGTTCTCACCACTTTCATTCAACATAGTACTCGAAGTCCTTCCCAAAGCAATTAGACAAGAAAAAGAAATAAAAGCCACCCAAATTAGAAAGGAAGTAAAACTTACTATTTGCAGATGACACATATGGAAAATCCTAGACTCCACCAAAATACTGTTAGAATAAATGAATTCAGTAAAGTTAAAGGATATAAAATCAACACACAAAAATCTTTTGCCTTTTTGTACACTAATAGCAAACTATCAGAGAGAAATTAAGAAAACAATCCCAATTGTTTTCCAAGGAATAAATTTAGGAATAAATTTAACCAAGGAAGTTAAAACCTGTACACTGAAAACCATAAGACATTGATGAAAGAAACTGAAAAAGACACACAAATAGAAATACATTCCATCTTCAAGAACTGGAAGAATTAATACTGTTAACATGTCCATACTATCCAAAGCAATCTGCAGATTCAGTGAAATCTCTATCAGAATTCAAAAGCCATTTTTCATAGAAATATATCAAACAATGCTAACATTTGTACAAAATTACAAAAGATCCTGAAAACTGAAAGCAATTTTGAGAACCAAGCTGGAGGCATCACGATTCCTGGTTTTAAACTATATTACAAAGCTATAGTAAACAAAACAGTATGGTATTGGCATAAAAACACATAGATCAATGGAACAGAATATAGATCCCAAAATAAACTCATACATATACGGTCTAATTTATGACAAAGGAGCCAAGAGTATAAAATAGGGAAAGGAAAGGATGGTCTCTTCAATAAATGGTCTTGGGAAAACTGGACTACTATCTTATACCATATATAAAAATAAAATCAATTGGGTTAAACACTTAATATAAAACCTGAAACCATAAATATCCTAGGGCTAAAAAAAAAAAAGGCAATAAGCTCCTTGACATAGGTTTTGGTGATAATAGTCTGAATTTGACATCAAAAGAAAGGCAAAAGGTTTTCAGGAAGATGGCAGAATAGGAGGATCCTAGGCTCACCGCATCCCATGTATATACCTAGATAACACCTAGATCAGTGAAAACAACCAGAAAATGACCCAGAGACTGGCACAACAGGCTCTCCACAGCTAAATATAGGAAAGAGGCCACAGCAAAGAGGCTAGGAAGGGTAGAGATGCAATCAGGAGACAAACTGACTGGTGGGACTGTCCATGGGAAGGAGGAATGCTGTGGGTGTGGAAAGGGGAGAGTAACAGACCCCACAACAGGTACTCCAGGCATGGGGGACCAGCACTGGGAAGATGAATCCCCAGAATATTTGGTTTGAAAAGCACAGGGGTCAACTCTGTGAATCCATATAGTGGGGCTCAACACATGGAACTTTGAAACAGTGGGCTCAGATGTGAAGACTACAGGAAACTGAGTCCCCACCCTTAAAAAGGCAGCACAACAGTGGAGCCTGGGTGGCTCAGTTGGTTAAGCTTCTGACTTCGGCTCAGGTCATGATCTTGAGGTTCATGAGTTAGAGTTTGAGTCCTGCATCGGGCTTTGTGCTGACAGCTCAGAACCTGGAGCCTGCTTCAGATTCTGTGTCTCCCTACTTCTGCCCCTCCCCCCCCTCAAGAATAACATTAAAAAACTTTTTTCAAAAGGCAGCGCAACAAAAAGCCCTGCTGAGATACAGCAGAAAAGCAGCAGTTTGAAAAATGCCTGGGGTATACAGGGAAAAGATTTGTTTCCTAAGCTCAGCGCATGTGCTGGAGGGGCAGGGATTTTTGACAGACTTCTCCAAGACCAAAAGAGTTGGAGGGCCCCATTTCCCACCCAAGCCCTCCAGCCCAGATACACCAACACCTGCAGGAACCAGTGCAGCACTAACACTCTTCATCTATCTTGCTATCTTGCCCTGGCACCTTGCTTGCACTGTGCAACTCCCTTCTGCCCCAATATTCTCCTGTGGCCCCACCCCCTCCAACACACCCTTGGCAGGAGTCCATCCAAAGTGGTGCCCCAAGTACAGCAGTGTGCAAGCAACCCCAACAGGGGCAAGCACCATGTCAAAGTGTCTCCTGCCCCAGGGAGAGGGGAAGAAAACCCCACACACCAGTTTAACTTCAGCCCCAGCAGTAGGCTGGGAGCAGACATCTTGTCTGACTACAGGCACCGCCCACCAATGAAAACTTCTCAGGGTACAACACAGAGAGAGCACCCTGCAGTTCGGTGCTCCTGCAGTTCTGGCAAATGTCTGGTCTGACCCAACTCAGGTCCAAGGGAGCCCTGGACTGGCTCACTAAAAACATAGGGACCGAGTCCTGTCCACAAAGGGCAAACAGGTTCTGGTGAACACGGTACATTGCACTGCAGGGCACTAAAGGAAGAGAAGGAAATATATCCCACTTTTGTAACACATAGAGAGGCAAAATGAGGAGACAGTGGAATATGTCCTAAATGAAAGAACAGGAAAACAAAAGCATAGCAAGAGCGCTAAAATAAATGGAGATAAGTATTATGTCTGACAGAGAATTTAAAGTAATGGTCATAAAGATACTCACCTGGACTTGAAAAAGGAGTGGAGAACCTCAGTGAGACCCTCAATAAAGAGAGAGAAAACATAAAAAAGAACCAATCAGAGATGAACTTAACTGGAACTAACGATATTCTACATGGAATAAATAGTAGACTAGAGGAATCAGAAGAGCAGATCATCAACCTGGAGGACACAGTAATGAAAAGCAATCAAGCTGAATAGAGAAAAAAAGAACAGTAAAAAACGAAAATAGATTAAGGGAACTCAGTTACATCATCAAGCATAATAACATTTGCATTACAGGGATTCCAGGGAAAGAGGAGAGAGAAAAGGGGGCAGAAAAATTATTTGAAAGAATAATAGCTGAAAACATCCTGAATCTGGGAAAGGCAACAGAATCCAGGTCCAGGAGGCACAGAGAACCCCCAGCAAAATCAACCCAAGAAAGTCCACAACAAGAAACAGAGTAATTAAAATGACAAAAAGCAGCAAAAACAGTTACACACAAGGGAAACCCCATAAGGTTATCAGCTGATTTTTTAGCAGAATGCTTGCAGGCCAGAAGGGAGTGGCACAATATATTCAAAGTGCTAAAAGTGAAAAACCTACAACCAAGAATGCTCTATCCAGCAAGGCTATCATTCAGCATAGAAGGAGAGATAAAGAGGTTCCTGGACAAACAAAAGTTAAAGGAATTCGTCACCACCAAACTAGCCTTACAAGAAATGTTAAAGGGGATTCTTTGAGTGGAAAAAGGAAAGACCATAATCAAGAATAAGAAAAGTATGAAGCAAAAAAGTAGTAAAAATAATTATATCTATAAAAATCAGTCAAAGGGGGCACTTGGGTGGCTCAGTTGGTTAAGCGTCTGACTCTTGTTTTCAGCTCAGGTCATGATCTCACAGTTCATGAGTTTGAGCCCTGCATCGGGCTCTGTACTGACAGTGTGGAGCCTGATTGGGATTCTCTCTGTCCCTTTCTCTCTGCCCTGCTGCTCTGTGTCTCTCTCAAAAAATAAATTTAAAAAATTTGTTTAAATCAGTCAAGGGATTCACAAAATAAAAGGATGTAAACTTTGACATCACATACCTAAACCTGGGAGCAGAGAAGAGTAAAAATTTAGTGATTTTAGAATGGTCTCAAACTCAAACATCAACTTAAGATGCATGGAGGTTACATATAAACCCAAAGTAACCACAATTAAAAAAAAAACAGTACTACATATGCAAAAATAAAGGAAAAGGAATCCCAGTCTATCACTAAAGAAAGCCAACTTATGAGAAAAGAGAACAAGGGAAGAAACAGAAGAAAGACAAAAACCACCATGAAACAAGTAACAAAATGGCATAAGTACAAATGTATCAATAACAACTTTGAATGTAAATTGACTAAACACTCTAATCAAAAGAGACGTATGGTGATGGAATGGATAAAAAAAAAACAAAAAAAACAAAAAAAAACAAAAAAAACAAGACCCAGCTATATGCTGCCTACAAGAGACTCACTTCAGACCTAAAGACACATGCATATATATTTTTTAATTTTTTCTTAACATTTATTTATTTTTGAGACAAAGAGAGAGCATGAACAGGGGAGGGTCAGAGAAAGAGGGAGACACAGAATCTGAAACAGGCTCCAGGCTCT